TCAAGGATAGTACTTCTCTGACAATGATATGCCTGTATGCCAAAAATAGGTTAAATCGGATCAATACTTCCCTTACCATGCGATTCTATACTGTGATACAGTCTCAAGTCTCTAAATTTTACATTATTCAGAGATGCTTTTACGCTCGAATGAAAATAAATATGTCGTTAACAAATATTAATTTTTCTATAACATAGTTAGAAAACATAATTACAAATAAAAATAAATAAAATATGTTGGCTTGTTTCATAATATTCACGAAATTTATGTAAAATTTATTTATTTTTAACCTTTTTGTATTTGAGTTGCTCTCAAACTATAAAAAAGTTACAAATCAAAATGACAAACCAGAGTTCTTTTTAGTTTTGTGTCCTGCTAACTATCAGGTCTCAAATTTGAGGCACTATTTTGAGATTAACGCTAGAGACTGTTTAGTTAATAGTAACTAGTCACAAATTGAGACTTAACCTCAAAATATCGCAAACAGAGACTAGATACTGGTTACAGAATTCCGCTATTAGTCCCAATGTATCTAATATAAAGATAATCGAACTTCCGGGTAACTTTGTACCGCATACTATATATCGGCCAATATGAGAGTTATTTAAATGAAAATGAGCTAACGTGTTTTATTCATAAAAAACAAATTTGAGCGAAAACTTGGCTTGCCACCCATATAACTAATATCAGGATTTTCGAACATCCCACTGACTACTCTGTATGATTAGTTTTCTAGTAAGTGACATGTTATTAGTAAGTGATATTGGGAAAAATAGATACAATTTATTTGATACTACCCCAACTTCCATATACAACGCATAATGGTTTTCGTTTTTCTAACAAACTTTATGTGTCTGTCAGCATATTATATTATTATACATAGTATGTATATGTATATAAAATTGCTTGGATTTCGATCCCCAGGTTGACGTTTTACATCTTAAGGTATTTCTCTTGCTGTGATTCCTGGAAGTTGTAAGAGTATAAAATGTTCGGTTGCMCCCGAAATAGAGTCTTCCTTACTTGTCTTTTTTTTTTTTTTTTAGGTTTCAGCTCGAACCTAATTGATGTGTCGTTTTGCAAACTGAATACGATTTCATCTATGCAGTTGTCTCAGCATTAGCATATTTTTGGGGACACCTAATTCTTATGTAATGGATCACACATCGACAATTTTGCAATACTTGTGTTTTGATCGACACTTTTTCGGAAATTTTAAGGCATGAAACACAGATTCTTGAGACATATTCAATATGTTTGCAATTTCCCTTTATCTGTGACCCATTCCTTGCAAATTTTGGACAATGTTTAGCTCGATCTATTTTTCTACATAAATTCATAAAGGACGCAAATATTCATTGCACAGATCTAATTTAGTTAATATAACGCTTTTTAAATTAAATGTTTATCGTTTATGAAACCGTTTCGCATTGATTATATTATTTTATCATTAAGCGTAAAGCACCCCTTTACACTTTTTAAATTACAGTTATCTGTAAAACTCGACAGTCCTATCCTTTCCTATTTTTTTAAAGTACATATGATTGCCACTATTAATTTCCAGAAAAGTTGCTTATTTCAAAATATTTTACCATTGTTCCAAAACAGAACTTCGATATTTTATTGTCCG